GGGCGTTACTGCCCTCAGCACCCCTGTCACGGGCGTTACTGCCCTCAGCACCCCTGTCACTGACGTTACAGCCCTCAGCACCCCTGTCACTGATGTTACAGCCCTCAGCACCCCTGTCACTGGCATTACAGCCCTCAGCACCCATGTCACTGACATTACAGCCCTCAGCACCCCTGTCACTGGCGTTACAGCCCTCAGCACCCCTGTCACGGGCGTTACTGCCCTCAGCACCCCTGTCACTGACGTTACAGCCCTCAGCACCCCTGTCACTGACGTTACAGCCCTCAGCACCCCTGTCACTGATGTTACAGCCCTCAGCACCCCTGTCACGGGCGTTACAGCCCTCAGCACCCCTGTCACTGATGTTACAGCCCTCAGCACCCCTGTCACGGGCGTTACTGCCCTCAGCACCCCTGTCACGTGCTCTGGCGTTACAGCCCACTGCACCTCTGTCACGTGCTCCAGAGTAACAACCCTCAGCACCCCTGTCACTGGCATTACAGCCCTCAGTACTCCAGTCATGTAGTTAGGAGTACAGCTGTCACTGCAGCATTTAGAAAACCACATTCCTGGTACTTCCCCAGAGGAAAGGCCACGCCCCTGTGTAAGGTTTACCCCTGTGCCTCCCAACAGGGAGGGTCTTCAAGCATCCCCTTGTCACCTTCACTAAATTTCCCACATCTGTGCATCTGTGTACCTAATGTGTCTCTACTCCTTTTTCTGGAGACCAGTCATCTCCAGCTTGGGGGGGATGTCCATCGATAGATGGGGGGTGGCACTGATGGGAGAAGCCACTCAAGCTAATGACAGCCCTGCTCTAGTGGACAAGGAGAAAGTTAATGGTATTAAGGAACGGTGTTGAAGTGATTTAAATTGTATTTGACAAATCGTTATCAATATGTTCAAGTGTCATATAATTGTACTCCGTTGTCTATGTGACCAGTCACATATGGAGTGCCACAGGGATCCATGCTTGGTCCGCTATTGTTTTCTCTCTACATACTCTCTACATAATGTTAACTCCTATGCCGACGACACCCAAATATACCGTGCCGCCCATGTTCCCAAACGGAGCCCCGCCCCATCCACTTGCACACTTACTTCTTTGATTTTGTTTCGAGCAATCAGTCAAAGCTCCCAGCAGACCTTGCAAAGGGCGGACAGTGGCAATGGTTCAGAATCATTTTTTAATTACACATGCAGATGAGTTTGTGCCTGATGGTGAGATAGCAAAGCAATAGAGGGAGCGGCTTTGAGGATCGGAACTGCTCAATCCTGTGGCTCTTCTCTCCATAACAGACCTTGAATATCTCAGTAAACATGTAAGTGCTTAAATCGGAATTCTTTTCATAATGCAGATTGCATTAAATAAAGGCCTTTGGTTGGCAAAGTGTGACATTTTGTCCCTACAGGCATCTCATGAGCAGAAAGTGAACAGGAGGAGGGGGAGGGACACAATTAAGGAGGACTTCAATTAAAAATATACAGTGGAATAAAGTGTATTAAAGAAAACAGGAACCAGATTTGAATAAATAAATGAAAAAGGCAGTGCTCAGAAAGAGATGGAAAGATGGAAAGGATGAAAGGAGAGAGACAGAGGGGTGTGGCTGGCTGGGGTACATGTGTCAGGGGTGTAAGTCACAGCCTGCTTTGGATCTCCTCCCCCAGCAGTCAGACCTGCACACTCACACCTGCCCGCACCTTCCATGGTATCCATGCCCGCTCGCCTGCCCACCCACCTGCCCGTCTATCCACCCACCTGCCTGCCCGCCTGTTCATCCACCCGCCCACCTGCCAGTCTGTCCGCCCACCTGCCTGCCCACCCTAAACTCGCCCACCTGCCCGTCTATCCACCCACCTGCCCACCTGCCTGCCCACCAGCCCGCCCACCCACCTGCCTGCCTACCTGCCTGCCCACCTTAAACTCGCCCACCTGCCCGTCTATCCACCCACCTGCCTGCCCTCCTGTTCATCCACCCGCCCACCTGCCAGTCTGCCTGCCCACCTGCCTGCCCACCTGCCTGCCCACCCTAAACTCGCCCACAAGCCCATCTATCCATCCACCTGCCCACCCACCTGCCTGCCCGCCTGTTCACCCACCCATCCACCTGCCTGTCTGTCCACCCACTTGCCTCTCACACAAAGCCAGTTTCAGCCAGTTGGGGGCGCTGCACTCAGAAGATGCTGCTCTCTGAACTCCTGAGCTCGATGCTTTAATAATAGACCCTGCCATGACTCACAGTTCAATTCATTCAGCTTTTTTGAGGACAAGGGGGTTTTTCCACCCATTTTCTCCTCCGATTTGCCCTTTTCAGCTCGATTACGTCATTGCTGCCCCCCCTGCTGGGCTTCCTATCATCAGCGTCCCCCATGCCTGCGCTTGCTGGGGGTCATTGCTGCAAACAGACATGGTGACTCACTCTCCCCGCTACATGTGGCCCTGCTCAATCCCTCCCACTGTCTCCTGCAGAAACACTGGTCACAGAAATCCCAAACCCAGGGATAAGAGACACTTGGGGTGGGGTAACTGTCCATAGGGCAGGGCCAAAGGGGGCGGGGCCACTGGCCATAGGACTCCTCCTCCTCCTCCTCCTCCTCACCAGGCCTGGGGCTTCCTCTTGAGCAGGCCCCGCCGTCGCCACTGCGAGTGAGGGCTGAGGTGGTAGGTCAGCTGCCGGCACACCTTCTCCATGGAGGTCAGGGCGTCCCCCTCCTGCGGCAGCGGCAGACACAGAGGACCATTCAGCCAACTTCGCTCGCCAGGTCTTTCATAGGAAGTGCAATCTGTGCTGCTGTTTTTGTGTAAAGTCTTAGAAGACAAGTTCAACATCAGGCCCTGTAGCATGAACCCAGGAAAATAATGAGTGCTGTCTGTTCAAGACCTCTCCAGTCCAGAATGAGCTCCATTCCAAATTCAAAAAACACGCCCCCACCTCGTTACTCTGCCCTTGGTTTTCAGCTAATGAGTCATTAAGGCATTCTCTCAGCCACCAGTGGGGAATACAGAGCTACCCCCCCCATCCTATAGAGGGCTGAGTCAGAGGTTCTGGTGTGCGGGAGCTGAAGGGGGAGGGGGGTAATAATTGTGAAAATGCCACAGTCTTCTTAACCAGAACAGGCTCATAACCCAGCAAGATGTACAGGTGAGAACTGACTGGCTAACAGAACATAGTGGCAGGGATACTGAGATCCTTGTGTGTGTGTGCGTGTGTGTCTCTGTCTGTCTGTCTGTCTGTGTGTTTCTCTGTCTGTCTGTGTCTGTGTATGTCTCTGTCTGTCTGTCTCTGTCTGTGTCTGTGTGTCTTTGTGTGTCTCTGTGTGTCTGTGTGTGTGTGTGTGTGTGTCTGTCTGTGTGTCTCTGTCTGTCTGTCTGTCTGTGTGTCTCTGTCTGTCTGTCTGTGTGTCTGTGTGTCTCTGTCTGTCTGTCTGTGTGTCTCTGTCTGTCTGTCTGTCTGTGTGTCTCTGTCTGTCTGTCTGTCTGTCTGTGTGTCTCTGTCTGTCTGGGGGGTTACATCCCTGCTCTTCCTCCTGATCCTCTTATTACATTATTACATCCCACCATCTCCCACATTCAAATTGCTTATTTCAGTTTGTCATTTATAATCCATCCACTGGCCCTTTTCTCCATCTTTCCTGGCCAGAAATAATAAAGTTGATTTTAATTAAGTGTGGTTTTCAGGGGGATTTGGGAGATGCTGTATACCAGGGCTCTGGGCTCCGTATATTTACGCCCGCGACTCGGGGTCACTTTGGAGATCGTCCCAGACAGATGCAAGAACTGAATCCCGATTTGCCACGTTATGCCTGTCTCTCCAACCCTCATATCACATTACCATCCTAAGCCCTGACCTTAACTCAAAGAATTAGCGCTGAATTGATCTGTTTGATATCTCTGTTCAACCATAGCAGCCATGTCCATTTACAAATACTTCTCAAACTAATCAATTTCAAAAGAGCAAACACACATTTCTGTGCCACCTTTGCAGGTGCAGGTATGTCAAGGGAGCAGATTTAAAGTGTCCTCTGTGTCCTGACAGGCTTATAGGATTATTATAAGCAACCTCCACTAGAGGGCGACCACCCACACCTCAGCGGATCAGGTCCTGGCATCCGTCAGTTCTGCCTCAGTCCGGCCTGCCCTGGCTCTCCCTAACGCCTGTGCCCACGCGGCCACTCACCGTCTTGGGGCAGTGGATGTAGCGGGCCAGGCTGATGATGAGGTCGTGGGTGATCGGGTCCACCAGGTTGCGGAAGCTGGCGTAGCGGTACAGCACGTCGTCCAGGGATGTGGACTCCATGCCCAGGTCCTGTGGGGTGGGGCGGCGGAGACGAGCGGGAACATGAGTCACCTCTCCATGACAACAGGTCACATGTCTACACATCAGAGCACAGAGCCCACGGACAAACTGGGGACCAGACTGTGTTTGTCAGACTACAAAAGCAAGCAGATCATAGAAATTCACAGAAACACAGGTAACACAGAAACACAGGTAACACAGAAACACAGGTAACACAGAAACACAGGTAACACAGAAACACAGGTAACACAGGTAACACAGAAACACAGGTA